AGGGAAGATACAATATGCGACATTGTTAGCGCAAATACGACATAGTGCTTTTTTCACATTTAAAGGGCAACTCCGCTTCATTTTTGATATCTAGAAAACTATGTAGCCCTCTTCAGTATTATATAGGAAGACCTCATGTCAAATATTACGATCTAATTCCGTTTATATATTTAATAAACTGGCCAGCAAACCTTCAAGCGAACCAAGTCGCCGAAATCTGCCAACTCTAGCGTGCGGCGCGAGGCGCAATCATCAGCGCAGTCAATGCCACGGAGTTGGAGCGGCCAACGTTGAACCACTACGTCAGAGCCATGACTACATCATTCTCGCGTTTTGCTTGTTTTTACTTCTCAGAGCGAAATTGAACGATGACGTCATGAGCCTCTCCTCCCGGTGTTGGCTGACCGGGCTTTCACGTGACCACCGTAACACGGATGCGCTAGTTTGCGCTGCCCTGCGCGCTTATCGGTCGGTTTCTCCGCTCCCTTTCGACTCTTTCGTCTTCTCCCTTTCCTTCTCTCCCCCGGGCCATCACCGTCCACGCCATGCGAAGCGACCTGCCTGCGTCCAATAATAAAAAAAAAGACCTGCCCGCGTCGCGTGTCCTGTTTCTCGCTCCCTCCCGAAAGTCACAAGACCACGTGGTTCGACGTGACGTGCCATGACTCTGACCACCCGAGACCAATGTTGCCTGACGCAGCCGAAGTTTCGGTTTCGGTATCTGCTGATGTTTAAATTAGGATTACACAAATAATATTCCACATTTCGCGAATCCGAAGACGTAGAGTTGTTTAGTAGTGCTTTGTGAATGTGAATCACATGGAAGCCTAAATTGTTCGGAATTGAGCGGAGTTGCCCTTTAAAGGCTTTCGGCGGGCACCAAATAATACTGCTATAGTTCGCCAAGTGAATGTTTAAAGTTTCGTAAACTCAGCTGCAACTATGGCGCGAGAATATCTGTCTTCGCGATTGAAAAACACAATACAGTCATGCCTCACTAACATGGTCGATCGTTTCGGTCACGCCGCTGTATAGGTCATATTTTTGGGAACTGATATGTGTCCCTATACAATTCAAACTCGTCACGTTAATTAAAGAAACCCAGAGTAGGTACTATGGACAGCTAGCTTGGGATCGAAATGGGTAAATTCATGTTTTTATCTTTTTATTGTGGTGTCTGTAAAAGCAAACGTAAAAAATAAAAAAAAATATATTACGACAATAAAGATTAGCAAAGCACATCGGTTACAGAATTTACTCAGAGCGTCTCCATTGTCAGACAACTCAATGGTGAATGACAATAGTTAAACTTTTCAGGGGTTCCTTGCCTGAATCACTTGTAGCTCTTTCCCTTTCCCAGTTGCAGATGACAAAAATACAAACTTCATTGTTAATTATTTGTGATCATGGCGTTGAATCATGATTATGGAGGAATAACATTATGGAGCATTGTTTTGGAAACTGGAGATGTGCGTATTAAAGAGAAAATACTGTAATAGCAATCAGACATGTTTGTTTCCGTGGCATGAAAACAAAATAATTAGAATCTCCGATGTGTTACATAGAAACAAACCCAGCGTGACATAGATATGCAGCCCTGCCTGAGAATTTTATGCAAACAGCCCTATCGATGAGGTATGTCTAAAATAGTATTTAAATGTTTATTTCTTGTGGAATCGCAAATACCAACCTGAACGTATATTATGATAAAATATCAATTTTTCAACCCGTGTAATAAGACAGTAACGCAAATTTTAGTGGGTCAGATATTATCCAGCAAAACTTCAGATCTCAATAAGTGAAGCTCTCCAAGAAGTAGTTTGAATTCTAGCTGCGGAAGGTCCTGGTATAACTGGTTCGAAGCAACAGATCTTACCCTCCCCTTCCCTCTTAAAAAAAACAAAAAAACTGCTTAAATGTTGTAGGTTACCAGCAGGCAAACAGCTTGTCTGAACAAAGTGGATGCTCAGAGGCTTCGGATAGTCTATCATCTTGCTTCTTAAAAATCATGTACGGAGCAACCTGCTGACGCAGTGAACAACATTGTCCCTCAAAGGTCTCGATAAGCATAGCCGAAAGAGTTCATGACCAGCTGAAATTTCGTGTCATTCTGACTAGTCTATACAAATATAAAGCTAACACAATGCATTGTTATTCGGGCAACCATATTTGTTGCTTACTTACAAACCTGAACCAAAATCTTTAGAGACATATTCCTTAATACTGTGTAGGCATTTTCTGTCTGTAGACCACATCTGTATTTCTCATTTCTCTTGGCCTCTTGATGAGCTTCCGATCCCTGTCGCTTGCGCCGTCAAGTTGAACCATGAGCTGAACCAGGTTTCCTTGGTGTGTCCGCCGAGATCCTGTGATGCCCACGGATGAACCAGCCACTTCATTGTTCTTTCTCATTCTTGCTGCATGCGTGTTCTCTATCTTCTCAGAATCTTCACAGGGTAATGTAGGAACACATTAATTTTTCTTGTCGCAACACATACATTTGCAGAAGAGAAACAGAGCTACGAAACATCCCATAGGGCTGCTCCTACTATCCTTTCGTCTTTGTTATCATCCTCTTTGCCCCAGCCATTCTCGTTTTACAGAGCAGTTGGCCGTAGATTAGATTACATAGATCACTATGGTGGAACCTAGCATGCTGATGGCTACATATTCAGCTTGATAGGTGGCCAGCAATCAAATGCACTTCACAAAAAAGTGCACGGACACTACCTTTTGTTTATTAGAGTTCCCTGTACCTGAGGCTTGTTGGGGTGATTTTCATGCCTTGAGCATCTGCATGGATACACAAAAAACAACACATAATGCAAATGTTGCGATTTCATGTGCAACAAACGACAAAAAAAATGCCTAACGTGAGTTTTAATTGTTTTGAGGGGAGCGCGCGGGTAGGTGTAAAAGTTGTGAAAGAATTACATATAGAATGATGGATAGCACGTCTTGCGATCCAGCTCTGCTGTCTGCATTCTGCCCTTCTATGCGTAAATCTTTCGAGATTTTAAAAGTGCCTTTCGAAATTAAATTATTTTACTATCCAGCGTTCTATTTATTTCTGAAAGAAATAAAACTTGGCAAATTAGTCGCAGGGCTGTAAAAGCATCTACACGAGATGCATGAATAAAAATAGCCAGATATCATATTTGTTTAGTGACTGCAGGGTGGCCCTTCTGAATAGTGCTATAGGTCAACGATTGTGCGATTGCACTTCTTATGTTGAAAACTGCCAGCGCGTTGGCGTTTTAAATCTTATTATCATATCAGGTGCAGACCCAAAGTAGACATATATGCAAATCGAGGCTAAAGATGTCACTGGATACACGGCGACCTTACATAACGTTTGGAGGGAACAGCGCAAAAAGGACGTAGGACGAGGTCGAAGAAACACACAGACAGGGCGCTGACTTACAACTGAAAGTTTATTGCTCTGAAGAAAGATAAACAAACACAGAAAGGAGGAAGGGGAGAGAACAAACAAATCAAGCCAATAACATGCGGCATCACCCACGCCCACGCTCCGTCACACCCCGAACCTGCCACACTTTCTTACAAAATCCACCTCGTCATTTGCAAGGGCAACCGAAGGAGCGCTCACACACGTGTCAGCTCCGATAGACGCGATAAAAAAACGCTTCGTCTGTCTCCCTCGCAGTTTTGTTTTTGTGACGGGACAAAATCTTTATGTCACGAAATGACGGCGTGCAGCCACACCTGTCACAATGATCCGCTAGGTTTCCTGAGGGCGAGGAACGCAAAGAAAGGGAATGTTCCCTTGCCCTTACGTTTACACAACGCCCGGTTTGACCAATATACACCCTGCCGCAGGACAGGGGGATCTGGTACACGACCCCGCTTACACAGACGACGTACGGGGTGCCCTTGTTCGGATGTTTAAAGGGCACGCTAGTCCTGGGAAAAAACAAAGGCCATCCACTAGACCTGTCGTACTTCCGTATACCCATGCCTTGTCTCACCGAATTAAGCGTGTTGCCGGTAGGTTTGAGGTGCCTGTCGTCTTCTCGGCGCCATCTAAGCTTTCACACCTTTGTGCTGCTGTTAGTAGAGAGGGACGCCCTTCCGTTGTGTGCGACGTCAAACATCGCACCCCGTACGTCGCCTGTGTAAGCGGGGTCGTGTACCAGATCCCCCTGCCCTGCGGCAGGGTGTATATTGGTCAAACCGGGCGTTGTGTAAACGTAAGGGCAAGGGAACATTCCCTTTCTTTGCGTTCCTCGCCCTCAGGAAACCTAGCGGTTCATTGTGACAGGTGTGGCTGCACGCCGTCATTTCGTGACATAAAGATTTTGTCTCGTCACAAAAACAAAACTGCGAGGGAGATAGACGAAGCGTTTTTTATCGCGTCTATCGGAGCTGACACGTGTGTGAGCGCTCCTTCGGTTGCCCTTGCAAATGACGAGGTGGATTTTGTAAGAAAGTGTGGCAGGTTCGGGTGTGACGGAGCGTGGACGTGGGTGATGCCGCATGTTATTGGTTTGATTTGTTTGTTCTCTCCCCTTCCTCCTTTCTGTGTTTATTTCCCTTTCTTCAGAGCAATAAACTTTCAGTTGTAAGTCAGCGCCCTGTCTGTGTTTCTTCGACCTCGTCCTACGTCCTTTTTGCGCTGTTCCCTTCAAACAGTATATACCACTAACTAGCCCAACTACATGCCTTGCTGACCTTATATAAAACAGAGAGCTCTAGAAAATCTCTGGTGTGTTTACAAAATTTACAAAATAGCGAGAGGTGTTGCGACGGCCTTCGCTGGGGGCTTTAAACTCAAAAAGAACGTCTTCCTGAAGCCACGAGACCATCTGGAATCGGGGGCCCTCGCAAGGAGAAACATCGGCGTGCGTGTGCGTGCCTGTGTGTGTGCGGGTCTGTCGGTGTTGGGTTTCAGCAAGAACGTCGACTCCTTACATCTGGCACTGGAGCGCGGCAAGAACGTCGAGGGATTACATCATCTGCCCCTCGCTAAAAGAAACCCGGAAATTGCATCAGCCGCCCCCGCACTTCGGACACCTCGTGAACACTCGAACACCGGGGAAGGCTCCTCTCTCTCAGAGGGCCTTCTCGCCCTCGGAGGGCTATATAACTTGAGATTGGGGAGCCCGAAATCGCCGATTGCCGATTAACCAGTCGACAATGCTACTTGTATATTCACTGTATATAAAAGTTCTCCTTCAGTACTCCCACTCCAGGCCTGTTTCCTCGGGGCCATGCTAGCAGCGAGCCACAGCCCCGACTCTTGGTTCTGTACCTGAGGCCGTCACCCTCCCGAACCGCAACAACTGGTGGCAGCGGAGGGATAGACTCCACGCAGACCATTGATCGCACGTGTGGGTGAGTGTCTGGCTTTTCCCTTTGAGTACTCACCAGGCTTTACCTTCTGGGTTAAATAGTGTAAAGCGGGTGTTTTGTTTTGTGACTGTCTGTGACGCAGCATTTGTTGCACGCCATAATAGTAGTTTTGGGATTTGGCCAGTGCTCGGAACGATCATGGACCTCCATTCGCTGCGTAAGCCAGAATTGATACGTATCTGCGAGGAGTTAGGTGTGGATATCAGGGGACTAAAAAGAAAGCCGCTCATTATCAAGGCACTTCTCGACTTTGGTACAGATGAGGCCGAGTTATCGGAGTGTTGGGAGGAAGTGCAGAGAATAGACAAAGAGAAAAGGGAGCTAGACGAACAGGAGCGGAGCGACAGACTCAAGTCGCAAGAGGCGGAATTGAAGCTCCAAGAGGCGGAATTACAATGCCAAGAGCAGGAGCTCGAGATGAAGAGACTTGAACTCGAGCTAGTAAAGTCAAGGGGTGATCGGGAAGGCAGCCCGGCATCGAGCACAGAAGAAGGCAAATCATTTAAGATGAAGAACTTAATGCAGCCTTTTAAAATCGGAGAGGACGTTGGTTTGTTCCTGGTGAACTTCGAGCGCACTTGCGAAAAGGTCGGGTTCGCTAGGCAAACCTGGCCGCAGCGCCTCTTAACGCTTTTTCCTTGCCCGACTGCAGACGTGGTCGCAAGGCTCACGAAAGACGAAGCGGAGGACTATGAAAAGGTCAAAACAAGCCTCCTTAGAAAGTATCGTCTTTCCGCTGAGGCCTTTCGGCAGCGTTTTCGTAGCGCCGAGAAGAAGCCGAAAGAGTCATTTCCGGAGTTTGCTTACAATTTGAGAGCAAATCTAGCGGAATGGCTCAAAGGCGTAGACGCGCACGGGGACCACGATAAAGCAGTGGAGTGCATTTTCTTAGAGCAGTTTTTGTGTCGCATCTCTGAGGAGACCCGCTTTTGGGTTCAAGATAAGCCGGACGCTAAGGCTGTTCAGAGGGCCGCGGAGCTGGCGGAAGAGTTTGCGACTCGCCGGGCCTTAGACGAGAAAGGTCACCCGCGTAAAGAGAAAGCGTTCCCGCCTGGCAAAAGAGATGACGGGAGGTGGCCAGGGGGTCGATTTTCGAGAGACGGGCGGCCAAAGAGGGTCGAGGGCGAAAACCGGAAGGAACCAGCGCAAACGAAAGGAGAGGCCGGCGACGGTGCCGATGGCACGGTGGATCACGAGAAAAAAAAAAGTCGTTTGAGGCTCGCCGGCCCCTAACATGCTATAGACCTTTTTCGCATAACCTCAAACCAGCCAGTAACTGACGTACCCTCGACCTGGTGCATTTTTGGATTGCCCGCTGACACAGGGTATGCAACCGCCAAGGGTATGGGCGAAAATGCTTAAAAACGGACGTCGTGCATGAGTTAATTCCGAGTGCTCCTTTTTACCGTACTGTAATTTCCGAAAACCTACCGTTGTCTGGCTACCACTGCGTGGTCGATGGATAAATAATTTTAAAAAGCATAAGAACAGTAGCAGCAAGTGTGCCATGAGCACAAGAAGCTGCAGCGCGAGTGTGGCTGCAATGTTATCGTACTTCGCATTTTCCCCAAGAATCTTATTTATGAAGTCAGTCGATTGCGAGCTTGAATTGCGAGAGATTCGTATCAGAATCAACGTCACGTTTAAGCTCACGACCACTTCGTCTACGACAAGAGGACCAATTTTAATTCCCGGTGCAGGTGGTCCAATTAGGTTATCACTGCAAGCCCCATAGTATGTGAAAGGTATGAAAAAGTTTACATGTCGCCACTCAAGATGGAGCTATCGAATGTCGAGAGCTTACCTGCATAGACTACATTAAACTGCTCATATATACTTCGCTGTGGAAACTCAATCAAAACACCCCACCGTCTTCGTCCTCATTCTCTCGAGGAGGCAAGGTGATGGCCTGGGATTAGCCAGCTCGATTCAACCGGACAAGCTCCAAGTTATTGCAGCCCACCATAGCCAAGTCTAGCCAAGTTCCGCCCATACCCACACCGTTGCCTACCCAGATAGCTGTGCTGCCATAACTAGCCGGTATTTCTTTTTCTAAGCCGCTAGACGGCGTCGTCGGCGCCGCAATTCTCAAGATGGCGGCGCCGTTAAAGAAAAGGTCTATAACTGCCAAAAGCCCGGTCAAGTTGCGGCCGGATGCAGAGAGCCCAAGGTGGTCTTCGCCTATGGAAATGATGGCGAAGAGAACCTCCGGTTACTAGAGCCATATTTGCGCGGCCTAACGGTGAACGGCAGGCAGTGCCGAGTGCTTCGCGATTCGGCCGCCACTATGGATGTGATTCACCCCTCTTACGGGGACTCTACGAAGTACACGGGAGAGTGCGCGTAGATTAAACAGGTGGTCGAAGAGCATAGCGTGTGCCTGCCGGTCGCCAGGGTGCGCATCGAGGGTCCTTTCCGCGCCCTTCAGACGGAGGCGGCCGTGCCGGCCAATCTCCCGTTGGGGTATCCGTACCTGTTTTCCAACAGGTCGGAAGAGCTGCTGCGGGAGAGAGGCAAAACGTTTTGTGAGGGCACCATCCTGGCCTTAACTAGGGCTAAAGCCCGAGACTTGGCAGCAAAACTAGAGTACGGAAATGAAGCAAGGTACGTTGTTGGGCTAGTTGGTTCATCTTAGTAAAACATATAAAATAGCGCAACAGAAACAAGGACAAGAAGTAAACAGGACAGGCGAAATGAAGCAGACGTTCCCACCGGGAGAACCCCGCTTTCGAACGCCTCGCGTTCGGCTGTCAAGGGTGACGTTGGCGCTACCGATCCAGAGAGGCGAAAAGAACTAGAAACACCGGTAGAGAAAACGTCAGAAGGGAAGGCTCAAGAATATCTCGACATGGAGGGTTCCGAAGGCATCTGTGCTACCCCCGAGTCAGGTGAATTGCAGAAACTGCTGGGAGTCGATCGCGATTCTCTGATCGCACAACAGGAAGCAGACCCCACTATTAAGGATCTGAGCTCGAGAACGGAAGAAGGAGTCTCCCGACGGAATGTAGCTTTCCCAAAAAGGAAAGGGGTGTGGTATCGGAGGTATAAAGACCGAAAGGGTATTGAATTTGATCAGCTTGTGGTGCCTGCAAAGTACCGGCGCGATCTCATCCACCTAGCGCATGGCAACTCATGGTCAGGACACTTAGGAGAGAGAAAAACGAAAGATCGCCTCCTCCAGGAGTTTTACTGGCCTGGGTGCATCATGGAGGTTGAGGAGGTCGTCCTGTCCTGCGACACGTGTCAACGAATCGGAAAACCACATGACAAGACCAAGGCACCGCTAAAGCTCGTGCCAATAATCACAAAACCCTTTCGCCGTTTGGTGATCGACACGGTTGGGCCCTTCCCCGTTACACAGACGGGATACCGCCACATCCTGACGATTCCATCAAGTTTCCCGAAGCGATCCCGCTAAAAGAGCTCAGCTCTGTGGAAGTGGTGAACGCGTTGTTTTCGGTGTTCGCACGCGTTGGATTTCCCGCCGAAATCTAAAGCGACCAGGGGAGTGTGTTCACCAGTGCTCTGACCACTACGTTTTTGAAGAGATGTGGTATTAAGCTGATTCGTAGCTCCGTCTACCACCCGCAATCCAACAGCGTAGAAAAATGGCATTCGGTGATGAAACGGGTGCTGCGAGCATTGTGTTATGAGCACAAGACTGACTGGGAGGCATGCCTCCCAGCCACGATGTTTGCTTTGAGATCAGTGCCACACGAGGCAACTGGTTTTAGCCCCGCCGAGCTTGTATACGGCCGATCTTTGAGATCTCCGCTCCAAATGCTAAGACAGTCATGGGAGGGTTACGGGGAAGGCCCCACTGTAGTGGAGTACGTGCTCGAGCATCTTGATCGCCTGAACCGCAGTCGAAGAGCGAAGTATTCCCGAAAGTTATATGAAGGAAGCTCAGGTGACGGCAAAGCGGTATTACGACGAAACCGCTAAGCCGCGAACCTTTTCCATCGGTGACAAGGTGATGCTCTTGAGGCCATCGACAAATAATAAGCTCGAGGTGCAATGGCAGGGACCCGTGGAAGTGTTGCAGAAACTTTCGGACATGAACTACGTCGTGAGCACGCCCCGGAAACGTAAAATCCAGAGGGTGTATCACAGCAATCTAATGAAGCCGTACCAGCAACGTGAGACTGTGATGAGTTTGACGGTAAACCACCCCGATGAGGTCAGTCTTGAGTTTCCCGAGATTAGTGAAACCCCGATCGCATGCTCGGTCGGACAGATACTCGAGAAGGCTGTTGTATCGGCTGATTTGGACCCAAGGCAACTAGGTGATCTGAAGGCACTCCTTGGAGAGTTTATAGATCAGTTCCACAGTAAGCCAGGAATAACCGATCTTGTAGTTCACGACATCGAGCTTACCACCGACCAGCCCGTGCGGTCAAAGCCCTACCGAGTCTCGCCTAGACAGAGGGAAATCATGGAGTGGCAGGTGAAGCGCATGCTTGATCTGGGGGTGATTGAAGCAGGAGAGAGCGACTACACTTTTTCTTTGATAATTATGAAGGTACCGGGAAAAGAACCTCGCCCGTGCGTTGACTACCGGCGCCTCAACCTTATCACCAAAGATCAGACGTATCCCATCCCCAATATTGAAGAACAGGTGGAGATGGTGAGCGCTGCCAAGTACATCTTCACGTTGGACATTGTTCGAGGCTACTGGCGGGTCCCCCTTTCGGAGAGAGCGAGCCGGTATGCCGCTTTTATATCCCCCTTTGGAACGTTCCGGCCTCGTGTTCTCAGTTTCGGCCTCAAAAATGCACCGTTTTGTTTTTAAGCTTAATAAATCGGGTGCTCCGAGGTCTAGAGGAGTTTGCCCTTCCGTACTTAGACGACATCGCCGTGTTTTCCGAGTCCTGGGACGAACATCTTGCACATTTTCGTGTTGTCTTCGAACGACTCCGCGATGCAGGCTTCACCCTAAAGGCGGAAAAGTGTCAATGGGGAAGGGGACAAGTAACGTATTTGGGACACGTGGTGGGTCGCGGTTGCCGCGGACCATCCGAGGTAAAGCTTGCAGCCATCAAGGAGTTTCCTCGACCACTCACAAGAACCGACATTAGGTCTTTCCTAGGCATTGCAGGATACTACCAACACTACATCCCAAAATATTCGGATGTTGCTAGCCCACTCACTGACGCCCTCCGAAAGACAAAGCCTCAAGAAGTTCGTTGGAATGATCGAAAAGAGCAGGCTTTTCGCGCTTTGCAGAAGTCTCTGATGAGCAAACCAGTCCTAAGGGCGCCAGATTATGAGCGCACGTTTATCATTCAGTGAGACGCCAGCAACCGCGGTCTTGGAATCGTGCTAAGCCAGAGGGACGACTTAGGCGAGGAGCATCCCATCTTGTACGTCAGTCGAAAGCTGACAGCTCGCGAAGAAGCCTACTGCGCTTCGGAAAAAAAAGTGCGCTTGCTTGGTGTGGGCCGTGCAAAAGCTTGTGTGCTATGTGGCAGGCTCGAGGTTTATCATCGAGACGGACCATTGTCTCCTCCAATGGTTGTAGAATATGTCACCCAAAAATGGCCGACTCCTTCGCTGGAGCCTAGCTTTGCAGCAGTTTTCTTTTGAGGTCAGGTAAAAAAAGGGTAAACTGCACACCAACGCGGATGGCTTGAGCAGACGCTCAAGAGTGAGTAGAGAAAAGTCTTCACTGAGCGAGCTCATGGATACCAAAATTTTACTTTATTTTGCTAAACAAATGTACCCAAGCTGGGATACTATTGATCTTGGTTTCGTGCCTTTTGTTGCTTTCTTGCGGGTGCCAAGCCCTGGTAGGGGTTTCGTTTTATTCGTGATCTTGCTAAGAGCGATTTTCATACCTTTTAGTGCCTGGTGTGTGTTAGAAGGGGTTTGCTAGATGCGCATTTGCAGTGCGGTCTTGGTTCAATTTTCTCATCCTCTCAAGATTTTTCGCAAGCTGCCCCAAGCGCTTGGAGATGAGCAGAGAGAAGGCGCGGCACTCAAGAAAAGCAGGAGACGGTGATCCACCTCCGCGTCGGCACTTCTGCGGTCCCTCAAAGGAGTGGCTGCTGACCTCTTCTCTTCGGGACCGACTTCCGGGTGGCGGAGGGACTGTTGCGACGGCCTTCGCTGGGGGCTTTAAACTCAAAAAGAACGTCTTCCTGAAGCCGCGAGACCATCTGGAATCGCGGGCTCTCGCAAGGAGAAACACCGGCGTACCTGTGCGTGCCTGTGTGTGCGTGGGTCTGTCGGTGTTGGGTTTCAGCAAGAACGTCGACTCCTTACATCAGCCACTGGAGCGCGGCAAGAACATCGAGAGATTACATCATCTGCCCCTCGCTGAAAGAAACCCAAAAATTGCATCAGCCGCCCCCGCACTTCGGACACCCCGTGAACACTCGAACACCGGGGAAGCCTCCTCTCTCTCAGAGGTGTAGTGGTTATAGCTCGTCGCTAAGATGTTGTGGTCGCTTGGGGCCATTACGAAAGGGTGGAAAGAGACAGGGAAAGCTCAGATAAAGACAGCGCCCCGAAA